GATGTTGTGGAGTTTCTTGTGTCTTGTTGAAGCCTTAGCCATCCAAGCAAATGAAGAGCATTCCATCAGAATCCTGACTGGTTGCCTTGTAATTTATAGGCAGACACTGGGGAGACACTAAGTGGATTCTTCACCACAAAATTCCTAGTCTCTGAACTGCTGTTCCAGGCACAGTACTTACGTGGCTGGTCCAGCTTAGTTTGTTTTTTGTTAATGCTAATTCCAGAATGTTGATAGTGTGATTTAGGAATGGTAATTAATTGAATATTAAGGGGAAGTCATTAGATTCTCTCATGAGCTGGCATATGTGAGGCAGGAATGTTACTTGACACTTATCAGTCCAAGCCCAGATGCTGACCAGAAAATGAATATGGACAGCTTCAGTATCTGGAGAAGTCATGAACAGTGCTAAACATTGTGTAATTATCAGTGAAAGTCTCACTTCTAAACTTATCATGGAGGGAAAATCATTGAGAAAGTAGCTGCAGATAGAAGGAGCCTACTTGGATGATTGTCCAACAGCCCCAACCATCCTCATTCTAGGCATGATTCCAACCAGCATGGAGTTTTCTCACTAATTCCTATTGACTGCATATTTCCTAGGGCTCCCGCTACCTTCTGCCAAATGCTGCCCTGATATCAATCAGTCACTCGCACTACACCTCTAGAATTCAACTTTTTTGTCCATGTTTAGACCGAGGCTGTAATGAACTGGAGCTGGGTGGCGCTGGGTGGCACTGGCAAAACCCAAACTAAGTGTCAGTGACCAGTTATTCCCATGTTAGTGCCACTTAATGGCACTGTCAACAATCACTTCCATCATTTTGCTGAAGATTAAGACCGATAAGGCAGTAATTGTCTTGGTTGAATTTGTCCTGCTTTTTATAGACTGGCCTTCCACAGGCATGTTTTCAGATTGCTACATCGATGTCAGTGCTGTAACTGTAGTGGAACAGCTTAGTTAGGAGTGCAGCAGATTTGATGCACATGTCTTCAGTGCTATTGCCGAAATGTTGTCACCTTTGCCCATAGCCAATGCCATTGAGTCATAGAGGACTGCAGCACAGAGAAAGGCTCTTTGGTCCATTGAGTCTGTGCCAGTCAAAAACAATGACTTAAACTATTTTATTTCCATTTTCCAGCCCTCGGGCCATACCCTTGTATGCCTGTAAATGTTTCTTAATATGATGTGGAATGATACAAATTGATTGAAGACCTGTAACTGCAATGCTGAGGGGCTCAGGAGAAGGCTGAGAGGGATCATCCACTCATCACTACTGGCTGAAGGTGGACACAAATACTTCAGCCTTGTCTTTTGCACTGATGTGCTGGGATTCCCCTACTGTTGAGAATAGGAATATCTAAGCTTCCTCCTTCTGTTCATTGCTTAATTGTTAGCACCGTTCACAAAAGTATATGTCAAGTCTGTAGAGATTAGGTCTGATACACTGGTCATAGAATCACTTAGCCCTTTCTACTGCATACCTTCTTCCACTTTTTGGCTTACAAGTAGTCCTCTGTTGTAGCTTCACCAGGTTGACACCGAATCATTAGGTATGTTGAAGCTGCTCTTGACGTGTCCTCCTACATTCTTCTTTGAGCTAGGGTTGATCTCCCAACTTGATGGTAATGGTAAAGTGGGCGAATATGCTGGACCATGAGAATATGGTTTATGTTTGAGTAAAATTCTGATGGCCAATTTTGAGTTATTAGATGTGTTTGAAGTGTCACAGTTAGCATTGTGATATTGAGCCACACAACAAGGACAGTATCCTTAGTATGAAGAACAGCTTGGCCAGGGGCATGTGGCCTGTACTGTTACCTGTCCTCCGAGAGTTTTGATTTCCTCGTATATCAAAAATTTTTCTAACTCAGCCTTGAATTAATTGTCCAGCCTCCACTGTTCTCTATGGAAAGGAATTCCAAAGACTGACAACTTCCTGAGAAGAAATTCCCTCAACATCTCTCATATTAAATGAGCAGAATGTGGGCCAATATCGGAGATGAATTATTGGATTGAAACACATTTCATGAGCCTGATGCAATCACTGAAGCAGGCATTAGGCCTTTTGCATGCATAAATGTGGGGCTTTATGTCTACTTTAGGCTCTCCTTGTGAATGGTGAATGGAAAAGGAGCAGGGATGACTCTTTTCAGTGCACTTCAGTGGCTGTTATTCTTAAACAAAATGAAATAAAAATAATGTTACAAAACCAAGATCTTTGCAATTCCACGATACTCTCAGGACTTGCCTTCCAGTTGCTATGAAAGGTGCACACTGTCTGTGATGGCGTGACAGGCACCAAGAACTCACCCAAATAATATTAACGAGGCCCCTAATATAATTTTGGACATGCTTTAGGGCTTTAGGTCTCCACGCTCCATACTGGAGAGTGTTTAAGACCCTTCAGCTTCAAAAATCCAACAATGGGAAGTGATTACAGACTACTTCTAAAGCATACATCTATGTTTTGTTCATAGAGGTTACACATTCCTCATGGTATCTCTGTCGAACATTCCTGATTTTATATTCTGCAACTTTATTCAGGGTACAAATTTGGATTAAACCCAACCTCTACTTCAAATTGTTACAAAGTTCCTTTTGCGTCAAGCACTGTACTTACTTTTTATGGTGAAAGAAAAGATCACCATTACATTGATATTTTTAAAACCTTTAGTCAGGCCAAAAACATATGGAAACAATCCGCTTCCTTTAAGTGAGCAAACTGAAATGTTATAAGACAGTAGTTATTCATCCACTACAAAAGCATGTCTTCAGTAACTGGTAATGCTGTGATCAGAATGCTTACTTGTCATTTTACATATATTAACAGAACTTAATATGGGAACAGAAGTAAATGCAACCCATTAATGCTCCCTCCATGTGACACTCTCTTGTTCTAAAACCCTAATCCTCACAGGAATATTCTCTCATAACAGTAAGAAAGCACAGAATGACAGAAGTTAAAGCAGGCAATCAAACTCATTCTCTCCACATTCTGGTGTACATTTTACTTTTCTCACCAGCACATAAACAACCCATTCAATTTTCTTTTATAAAAAATTGTAAAGCTCAGAGATATAAGTTCAAATCACCCCCGCTACCTTAAATCTATTCCATTTACCCCATCCAATCAGTCTTCTAAAAGCAAGTTTCCATTAAGTCTTCCTCTTCCACCAAAATAAATGAAACAAAACTCCCTACCACTGACCTACCGTCGTTGACCAACTGGCCTCCTTATCATTGTCCTGATGAAGCAGAAGCAACATATCCCCCAGGACCTTCACAAATCTTTAGCTTCACATATTCTCTCAGTCTCAATCCTTTTTAAAACTAGGTCTTAATGCAACTACTTTTTGAAGTATATTCTTTGAGACAGGAACTGTTTTGGCTGGTTCTCGATTTCACAAACCTTCCTCCTATTGTCAAATCATACTTGGGTTTACTTGACATATGTTTGTGTTGCAAAACTCTGTTGGATGGGTTGTTTATGTGCTGGTGATTAAAGTAAAACATACACCCAGAATGTGGAGAGAATGAGTTTGATTGTTCTCTGTAACACATGGCTCATGTTTAATTTCTCCAAAACATCTCTGCCATCTATGGGGTTAAAGCCAACAGGCTAGGAAGTATTTACAACATGATCTGGAAAATATCACAATTATATGGGGCTGGAGAGATAGACCTGTTTCTATTTTCCTGGCTGACCTTTTCACATGTTCATAAGATCACCACCACCCAAATAGGTTTAAGCTCAGCAACATTTGAGCTGCTGTAGGGGTGGCACAGTGGCTTAGTGGTTAGCACTGCTGCCTCACAACCCCACTGACCTGGGTTCAATTCCATCTTTGGGCAACTGCTGTATGGAGTTTGCACAGTCTTCCTGTGTCTGGGTGCTCTGCTTTCCTCCCACAGTCCAAAGATGTGCAGGTTAGGTGGACTGGCCATGCTAAATTGTCCATAGTGCCCAGGGATAGGTTGGTCAGCCATGGGAAATGTAGGGTAGGGGGTGTGTCTGGGTGGGATGCTCTTCAGATGGTTGGTCTGGAGTCAATGGGTTGAATGGCCTGCTTCTGCACATAGGGATTCTATACCATTCAAACAGAGCAGTTCTTTTGATCACTGGACATAATTTCCAACCCTCCCCACTACCAAACTTTGGGTACAGCATGTACTATTTACAGCATGAACTCTGCCAAAATACCAAGGTGCAACATCTCATCACCCCTACAACCTTTACTACCAAGAAGAACAAGGAAAACAATGTTGAGGGAACACAATTATCTTCCATCCACAAACCATTCTGAGTTTAAACATATATTGTTCCTTCTTTGTCACTGGATCAATATCTAAGAATTGTCTGCTTAACACCATTATGGAGCACTATCATCATAAGGACTACAGAGGTTCAAGAAGTCAGCCCAACAGCATCTTCTAAGGTCAGCTGGGGGATTGTCAATAAATACCAGTATTTTCCACACCCATTTGTGTCCAATCCTTTGATGATTCTAAAAAAAGAATCCTGATGTCTATTTACAAGTCTCTGGTCAACTCAGTAGTGTCTGCCTGAAAGAGGGAGGAGGGATGCCACAGCGTGTAGACTGCATGCTTGCTGTAGATCAGTTTGTCAACTAGGATCAATTGCTGTCAGCAAAAGAACCTATTTTAATTTCAAAACTGGACCTGTGTACTTGTTCAATTTGAGATAAATTGCACTGGTTTGAAAGTGTTAAGTGGCCTCCCACATCCCCATAGCAAATTCGCTTCCAGGATTTTTCAGACATACCTAACATCAAACATGGTTATGACACAAACAGTCGAAAGTACAATGGATGACATAACTTCCATTTGTCTGAGTATCATTAGAAAGCAGTGAAAAATATAACCATCCATCCTGGCAGGGTTTGAAAGAAGGCAGAGGAAATTAGAAAAAAAAACCCCACATCATATCGACTGAGTTAAAATTAAATATGATTAATCTTAGAATGTTTTCAGCCTAAATGTCTAATTGTCCCCATCAACATACAATTTGAAATGATTATTTATTTTAATACCCAAAATGCCTAAAATCTATATTTCAAGTGCTATTTTTACTTTAATGCCCTCCAATTATCATTTCTGAGTTTCTTCCGAAGCAATGGAGATAATAATCTCATGGGATTACTATTTGCTGCTTATCTATTTCGACTGAAATGGTCAGTCCAATTAGTTGGGTAAAGTTAATATATTTAGTGTAACCTTTTTTTTTTGATGGAACATTACCAAAATTAGTGTGACTGAAAAGTGACCAAAATTAAACTCTAAAGCCAAAGCATAAAAGGCTGCATTTCTTCTAAAACATTGTCATTGATGTCACTCCCACCTCTGTCCCCTGTAATCACAGCTGCATCGCATCCTTTCTGGTAACAATCCAACAGAACACCGTGAGCTTAGTTTATCTGGATACGTCTTCATCACGTGCTTGTAGCTATCCAGTACTTTATGCACGTCTTCCAGAGTGAACCATATAAGAGGATTATTTTACTATCTGGCTTTGACCTGCTCTATACAGATTGACCATCTGACTGGATTAGTGTGTCTTGTCTAATATATTTAGCTGAACTCAGCTGTGTCACTTAAGAATTGGCATATTCTGATTGAAGGGCACTATTTGAGAGGCAATGTGGGTGGGAGAGTTCCTTGTAAATTTTGCTATGACGTCCTGTGCATTATCGGACAATAATTCAGGTTGTTTCACATCCAAACTGCTCACAAAGGTAGAAATGCTTTGGACTACTTTTAAGGGCAGTATGGGTGAAAGTTCATATTGATAACATTACCACAGATGGGATATTACACACATTATTCATTAGACAAAGCTTAATGGGAAGTAATTGCCATTTCTCATCTTCAATCTAATTTCAGATTTCAGTCTCACTGTAAACTTTCGACAAAGCTTCCTGGAAAAAGGCCAGTCTTCCCACTCTCTGTGTGCGTTCCCTGGAACCAGCCATCCTGGTGTTTCCTGTGCACCAGTACAATGTCACCTTGCTCCAGGCCAAGCTCAGCATCACCTTGGGCTGGATATGAAAGTACCGCCCGGCATCTGTGTGGACAAGAATCATCTGTATTATTCACTTAAATGTGCATGTGTGAATATAAGCAGTGTTTAGCACAGCAGTACGGTGTCAATGGATATGGTCTTAAACTTAGTGTGCTGTGAATGGGGGAGAAAGGTAGGGGTGTTGTAAAGTGGGGGAGAAGAAGGGTCTCCTGTCCTCATTCTCTCTTTGCCGTCCTCACTCCCACACATCCTCAGACACTGCCTTGCTATCCTCACACCCCTTCGCCACTGGCCTCACCCCCTCCTTGCTGTCCTCACTCACCACCATCATCTGCTGAACTCTGTTCAATATTGTGATTCTTTTCTGCCTATGCGCAGTTCCTTTGAGCATAACGCCATTGGCGTTCTATGTAATGACAGAGAGTTTCTGGGATTGTCTAGATGTGTGTTTCTGGATTGTGTTCATCTGCAGTTGTAAATGATGCTGAGAATCAGCAAACACTCTCAGGTTTAAACCTGAACCTGTTTAGATGGACAGCATGTGTTTAATCAATGCGTAGTGCTCATGCGTGTGTTGTTAATCTGTTATCTTTGGTATAATGAGGACAAGACATGCATATGTATTTCATACAATATACAGCATAGAAATGAGCAATATGGCCTAACAATGGCCCATGCTAGCCTTTACATTCCATACAAACCTCTTCCCATATTTCCTCGTCTAAATTTACCATTGCAGCCCGGATGCTTGTCTGCCATCCTCTTAAATGTATCTATCCTATGTCCTTCCACACTCCTTGTGGCAGTGAGTTCCATGGTGAAATTAATACTTATGGTGATGATGTTTCTCCTGAATTCCCCATTGGAAATTCTTGGGGGCTATCATATATTGGCATAACAGCAGAACATTTTGGAAATATATAATATGACCAAGCAGAGTCAGTATGGCTTCACAAAGGGGAAATCATGCCTAAGTCACTTGCGAGAATTCTTTGAGGAGCTAACAAGCAGGATAGATAAAGGGGAAGCAATAGATGTAATATATTTGGATTTTCAGAAGCCATTTGATAAAGTACCTCACGTTAGGCTATTTAATAAGGTAAGAGCCCATGGTGTTAGAAGTAGTATATTAGCATGGATTGAGGACTGGCTAACTAACAGAAGGGAAAGAGTTGGGATAAAGGAGCATTTTCAGTATGGCACCCTGTGACTAGTACAGTGCCACAGGGATCAATGCTGAGGTCACAATTACTTACAACATATATCAATGATCTGAATGAGAAAATGAATGTACAATTGCCAAGTTTGTGGATGACACAAAAACAGATGGGAAGGCAAATGGTTAGAACATCACAAAAAGTCCGCAGAGGGATATAGACTGGTTAGACAGAGTGGGAAAGACTTGGCAGGTGGAATGCAATATGGAGAAATGTGAGGTTATGTGCTTTGGCAGGAAAAATAGAGGTTCTGAATATTACTTAAACAGAGAAAGACTGCAGAAAGCTGCAGAACGGAGGGATTTTGGAATATTTATGCATGTATCACAAAAAGCTAGCATCCAAGATCAATAGTATTAGGGAAGACAACTGAAATGTGAGCCTTTATTTCAAAGGTAATGGAGTATAAAATTAGAGAAGTCTTGCTAAAACTATACAAGGCACAAATCAGACCACAGTTGGAATACTGTGAACAGTTTTAGGCCCCTTATCTAAGGAAAGATATACTGGCATTGAGGTAGTCCACAGAAGCTTCGCTAGGCTAAAACTAAGTATGGAGGGACTGTCTTATGATGAAAGGTTGAGTAGATTGGGCCTGTATTATTGGGCATTATTATTGAAGCATACAATATGCTTAGGTTGCTTAACAGGATAGATGCAGAAATGTTGTTTCCTCTTGGGGGAAGAATCCAGGAACAAAGGGAATAATCTCAGAGTAAAGGATTGCTCATTCAAGTTCACAAAAAGGAATTTCTTCTGTAGGAGGGTTGTGAATCCGTGGAATGTTTTACTGCAGAGGGTTATGGAGGCTGGGTCTTTTCATATAAATCAAAGTTGAGATGGACAGAATTTTACTCTGTAAGGGAACCAAGAGTAATAGGGAAAAGGCAGGAAAGTGCAGTTGAGGATTATCAGATCAACCATGCTCTCATTGAAGAACAGAGTACATTCAATTGTTGAATGGCCTACTTCTCCTCCTATATCTTATTGATAGCCTTCAGTTATGTTTTTCCCCACAAGAAGAAACGTTCTCTCTGCATCTACTATTTTATAATTTTAAGAAACTCTATTACGTGACCCCTGAGTTTTCTTACCTGAACCTACTTTTCAGCCAAAAACAACCTTTCATTCTCAATGAGTAAGTTTACACCTGAATCTGATTGTTAGAGTTTGGCGTTGAGTTATGACTTGAATATTTATTTTATCAGCACACAAATGTTTGGATTCCTTCCATTCATCACATGAACTGATTGTAGTTGTAAGGAACAGCAAAATAAATACTGTTCAGTTATTGTGTTTTAATGGACACATATGTAGAAAGCTAAGTAAACATGGGATTAGTGCTTGAACCTCATCTATTTACAATCGTTATAATGACTTAATTGAGGGTAGTAAGTGAAATTTATCCAAACTTGGTGACTATATGAAGACAGGTGGAAACGTAAACTGTGAGAAGAAGACAGAGAGTGAATGGACCAAGATGGTGGCAAGTGGAACATCTCATTGGCAGGTGTAAATTCTCTACATTGCTGGGAATAATAAAAATGTTGAATACTTCTAAAGAATAAAAGAACAGAAAATATCGGTATTCAGGATCAAATATAAATTACAGAAGGTAATTATGGATAAACAACAACCATGCCTGATGAAAGAATTTAAAAAATGCAGATACTGCAAGCAAAAAAGAAGCCAAACAGCATATTAGCCTTTATTTCAGGGGTTTTGAGTACATAAGTAAGGAAGTCTTGCTGCAATTATATATGGCTTTGGTGAGATTACACCTGGATGTCTGCATAACATTATAGCTTTTTTAAATTCCAGATTTATTCAACAAATTGAATTTCACGCTCCCAGCTATATGGTTGGAGCTGAGTTTATGACTTGGCATAATTAGCCCAGTGACAAACTATGCCATCGAAAACATTGGCAATAATAAAGAAAAACACAAAGATACAAAAAGGGAAGAGGCTGACGGAAAGTATACTCTATAAAAGAGAATTGGGAGTATATTCAAGAGTGAAACAGCATCCTAAAAGTTAATTTTAATCACTTTGGTACATTTACTGTATATTCCAAATACTTTATGTGCATATAAAGACTTGGCTCATTATTAGCTGGGATTGGTATCTGTGTATGTCCATGAGTTGCTGTCAAGTACATGTAACATATCAATTGTGTAATTGCTCAAGCAACACTTACTTTATGCATTGCAGAACAAACTACTACCAGTTGAGCTAGAGTGCTGCCATGAATCCTCCTTGTTATACTGAGTAAAGATTTATTCGTTTAACAGTAGTGGAGGATGAAGTACTGGTGAGACATAAAGAGACACTTGCAGTTTCCAACATTAATCCTTTCAGAACCATTACCTTATATTACAGGAGATATGTGCTGTGATGGGGAATATTGGTTTTCTAATATAAGAATGAGATAAATAGTCCAAATGTTTTCTTTCATCTGTACTTTGTGATTTCTGTGATGCCATACAATAAGGAAGATAATGCCATGATTCTATGGTGGGAACGTTCAGCTTCTGACAGTGTATATCCAACAATTGATGTGTACCGCCCTTGATATTTTTATCTAATTGAGTTTTAACAGTCTGGATAGCACTAATTTCAGCACAGGATATCTCAATATGGCATTGTCAATGAATGAGGTGCCTGACTGGTAGAAACCATTCATAAAATAATCCCTTAGAGGTTCTTTCATAAGACATAAAGTGCTCATGGGAGGCTCTATTTTGATTTGTTTGTTCACAGGACATGGGTGTTGTTGGTGAGGTCAACATTTATTGTCCCTTACTGCAGCTTTTGGATGACTGAAAAGAATATTAGGGAAGGGCATAACTGGTGAACCTAAGATAAGATCAGCATTTTTTTTTGTCACTTACAGATACATACAGGATCACAGGAAAGGGATAGATGATAAAGAGTTTGCCTCTTGGCCCCTCAAACCTGTTCCAGCATTCAGTCAGATCAACATCTAATTGAACTCAGCTCCATTTGCCCATCTTGATCCCATTTCTTTCGCTAGCCTTACCTAACAAAAAATCCATCTACCCTAGGAGTGAAAGCTCCAATAGTTCCTGTATATCCACAGCCTCTTTGGGACAGAATTCCATATTTCTACAACATTTGTGTGACCAACATGATTCATGTTGCACCTCTTCTTTAATAACAGCCATTGCCAGAAGGATTGTTACCTATTGAAGCACATTGAACGGTTTGGCAAGGTCTTTGGACATCCTTCAGAAACTGGGCTGTGCAGTGGTGATGGAGGGGTGCAGCGATAACAAGAATCCCAGGAGCCTGTCTTTCTGTGGGACGTCTGGACCTCCTCTTCACTTCCTATTGGGCATGAACCAGCTCTGTTGTGGGAGATAACAGGGACAGGAGGACTGCTGGTTTCCTGTAAAATTGATTGTGCAGCGCCCTGTTCTGGTTTTGCCGAAATTGGAGTTGGGCTGCACACTGAGGTGAGCTGGAATTTAGGCCTTGTAGAAGACGTAGCACAGTGAGGTAGAAACATTCCGAGACTGGTCTGAGCCTGAAAAAGACACATTAAAGTTGGTTTATTTTGAATTGTCCTCACTCTTCCTTAGCTGTCAAAGAAAAGTTGTCCTTGTCACAGTGGAGTGCAAGAGACTTGGAACAGATGTGAAATACCTTCATTCTGATGACCTTGTAAAACAAGGTCCAAGACAAGGTGCATCTTTGGAATTTGTCAAACACTTTCTGATAAACACTTTACTTCTTTACTGCACAGTTTTGCCCATTTTAACACCAACAACAGATTAAGTCATAAACAAATCAGCTTAATGGAGACTTGTGTAACCTAAAGGTACTGGCTCCAGGGTATCAGGAGAGACAATGGGATGAGAAGCCTAAGGGATGTCTGCTGTTATCAAAACTAAATTGAGAGAGAGAGAGAGAGAGAGAGTGCTTCATGGAATTGTCAGAATTTTCATATTATGTGTAAATTACTTTGGCATCCTTTTCCTTCTCCCTTGTCCATTTCTAGTGCAGATCTCCTGTATCCCATGTTTCCTGCTCTTGGAGTTATAGACAATTTGAAATGTTATTCATAAATTTCCATCTCCGCTTGTACAGCCATGAAGACTGTAAATGCTCCATTCATCTTTTCCTTTTACTCCATTTAGACATGGCAAACCCAAGCTGATATCCACCGTTTTTCTTCTCCAACCTTTCCCAACACACGTCTATTTCATTACATCATCGTTCAAAATATGACTTATATCCCAATTCCTTGTCTTCAAAAAGATTACATTAAATTTACACTTTGTTCCCTTTCTCCTCCCTGACACATAGCTGAGCCAAATTCCTGTTTTTCACGTCTCTATATTTTGAGTAGATGTATAAAACCCACCTTGTGTACAGTACTTCTGTCCTCAAACTTGCAGTGCAATGGTGTAGGATCGGACATTGGTACACATCCCTGGTCCACAGTTGTACAATTGGAAGCTTCACCATCTTGCATTGCTGATGGTTTCCCGCCGTGACGCATTATAGGGGCAGTGTTAGCAATTGGCCTGGTGGACAGGTTAGATCGGCTTGTCCCTACCAGTCCATTGGAATGGGAGGCATGCATAGTGACTGGGTGCAGAAACTGATGGGACGCAAAAGGTTGTGCTTGAATGACAACAGCTGGAACACATCGGCTACTTGTGCTTTGAGACTGGACGGGGGGAACTGCAAGTATTGGTCGATGTACATTTACTAAAAAAGCAAAGAAACATATTGATTGTGTTAACTATAAATTTTCTGCCCAAACTACTGCACAAGCAAATTTATTATTCCAAACCAGTTTATTTGCACTAAAAGAAGAGAAGAAAAGGAAGAACTTGCATTTATATCACATCTTTCATGGCTCAGAACATCCTATAAGGAAGAATTACAGAAGTGTAGTCAATGTTGTAATATAGGGTAATACGGCAACCAATTTTCACACAGCAATGCCCTATGATAACAACGAAGAGACAATCAGTTTTAATGATGTTAGTTTAGGAATAAATATTGGCCAAAAATACTAAGAGAACTCCTTGAACAAAAACAGAAGTTGCTGGAAAAGCTCAGCAGGTCTGGCAGCATCAGTGAAGAAAAGAATCAGAGTTAATGTTTCGGGTCCGGTGACTCTTCCTCCAGTTCTGAAGAATGCAATTAAGACCTATTCTTATCTTTCAGGTGTATGATACTAACTGAACATATTCCATAACCAGACATCCTTCTTCCAGGAAAGAGAACAAAAGTGCGCACAATATTCCAGGTGTGGTCTAACCAAGGCCCTGTACATTTACAGCTAGACATCCTTGTTCTTGCACTTGAATCCTCTCACTATGAAGGTAATGTACCATTCGCTTTCTTCACTGCCTACTGCAGCTGCGTGCTTCCTTTCAGTGACGGGTGTACAACGACACCCGGTTCTCGTTGCACTTCCAGCTTTCCCAAGCTATCATCATTCAGCTAATAATCTGCCTTCCTGTTTTTGCTATCAAACATTACATTTATCCACATTATATTTCATCTGCCACATGTTTGCCCACTCACTGAACTTGACTAAATCACACTGAAACATCTCTGCAGCATCCTCACAGTTCATTCTCCCACCCAGCTTGAAGAAATTACATTTAGTGGCCTCATCTAAATCATTAATAATTACTGTGAAGAGTTGGGCTCCAAGCACCGATCCCAGCAGTACTCTACGAGTCGCTACCTGCCACTCGCAGAAAGACCTATTGTTCCTTCTGTTTAGAACACAGAATAGTACAACACAGGAACAGGCCCTTCTGCCTATCATGTCTGTGCTGACTTATTGCTATTCTAAACTAAACCCATCTACCTGCATATGGTCTGTATCCCTCTATTCTCTGCTTGTTCATGTGTCTGTCTAAATGTCTGTTAAACCTTGTTATCGTATCTGCTTCTAAAACCTCCCCTGGCAGTGCATTCCAGGCTCCTACTGCCCTCTGTGTAAAAAACTTTTCTCGCACATCTCCTTTAAACCTGACCCCCTCATCGCTCTTTGTTTCCAGCCTGCCAACCAATTCTCTATCCATGTGAGTACCCTACCTCCTATCCTGTGCACTTTAACTTTACACACTAATCTCTCTTTGGTAGCAAAAATAGGGAGGCAGATTATTATCTGAATGGCTGTGTAGAGGGGAATGTTCAATGAGACATGGTGTCCTCATGCACCAGTTGCTGAAATGGTGTGAAGCAGGCAGTAAAGAAAAAATGTGTGTTGGCCTCCATAGTGAGAGGATTTCAGTACAGGCACAAGGATGTGTTGCTGCAATTAGACAGGGCATTAGTGAGGCTACATCTGGAATATTGCGTGCAGTTTTAGTCTCCTCATCTGAGGACAAACGTTCTTGCTGATAGAGGGAATGCAGCAAATGTTTACCAAATTGACTCCTGGGAGGGCAAGATGACATATGAGGAGAGGCTGAGTTGGATAGGATTGCATTCACAAGAGTTTAGAAGAATGAGGGAAATCTCACAGAAACCTATAAAATTCTAATAAGACAAGACAGGTTAGATGCAGAAAGGATGCTCCTGATGGTGAGGGAGTCCAGAACCAGGGATCATACTTTAAGGATAAGAAGTCACCCTTTTAGGACTGAGATGAAGAGAATTTCTTCACCCAGGGAGTGGTGAGCCTGTCGAGAAAGTGGGTGAGGCCAAAACATTATGTGATTTCAAGAAGGAGGTAGATTTAGCTCTTGTACCATAAGGAATCAAGGGATATGGGGGGTGGGGGTGGGAGTGGAGGGTGGAGGACAGGGTTAGGGTATTGAGCTTGATGATCAGCCATGATCATATTGAATGATGGAGCAGGCTTGAGGGATTGTATGGCCTACTCCTGCTCATATCTTCCATGTTTCTATGGCTTTATCGAAAGCCTTCTGTAAGTCCAAGTAAACCACATCCATTGGCTCCCTGTTATCAACTCTACTAGTTACATCCTTGAAAAATTCCATTAGATTTGTGAAGCATAATTTTGCTTTCATGAATCCATGCTGACTCACCCTGTCCTGTCACTATTTTCCATGTGTTCTACGATTCAATCTTTTATAATAAATTCCAGCATTTTCCCCACTGCTGATGTCAGGCTAACCAGCTTATTATTTCCTTTATTCTCTCTAGTTCTTTGTTTAAATAGTGGGATTACATTAGCTATCCTTCAATCCATAGGAACTGTTCCGAATTGATGGAATCTTGAAAGATGATCACCAATGCATCCATTATTTCTTGGGCCACTTCCTTAAGTATTTGGATGTAGATTATGGAGCCCTGAGGATTTATTGGCCTTTAATCCCATCAATTTCCCCAACACCATTTCCCTACTGATACTGGTTTCCTTCAGTTCCTCCCTCTTACTGGACGCTGTGTTCCCCAACCCGTTTTGGAACATTTTTTTTGTTCTCCATCTTTTCTGTTCCCTGTTATAACTTCCCCTGTTCTCAACAATCTTTTTTCTATTCCCACAACTTCAAATTAGGGTATTGGTCAGGACATCAGGAGGAACATCTTTGTAACGGTGTCCTGGTTAATTTTACATTCAGTGGAGCAGGTAGACAGGCTTCAGTTTAACATTTCAACTGAAAGATATCATCTCCGATAGTAAGGTGTTCCTCAGTGTTATACTGAAACTATAGCCTCAGTTTTGAGTGCAGAGTACCTTACATGCCTAGTTCAGACTAATCACCCCTTTGAATGGGATTGAAATATCATTGGGAGATCTGTTAGTTACAATGCCCAGATCATATGTAAGACAACACGACAAACTGAAAGAATACTAGGATATGCAAACGAATGACAGAGTACACATTTTCAAGGCTTATATTCAGACTATTCTCTGGTCAGACCATTCTTTACATTCTTGTGCAGACAGTGAAGTACAGAACCTGGTAATTTAGGAGAGAAGAGTCAGAGAGAGTAGTTCTGGGTGAAAAAGAAAGACTTCTATTCATATACCAGTAACATTTTTCATGATCTTAGGATAGTCCTGAGCACTTTACATCCAATAAGGTCTGTTTGAAGTGATGGAACATAGGAAATGTAGGAGCTAGTTTGCATGCAGCCAAGTCTTGCAAACAGCCATATGACAATCACCTTAGGGCCGGCAGCATCAGAGGAGCAGGAAAACTGATGTTTCAGGTTGGGACCCTTCTTTAGAAACCTGAAGAAGGGTGCAGACCCGAAACATCAGCTTTCCTGCTCCTCTGATGCTGCTTGGCCTGCTGTGTTCATCCAGCTCTACACCTTGTTATCTCAGATTCTCCAGCATCGGCAGTTCCTACTATCTCTGACAATCACCAGACAGTTTTACTGATATTGGGTTGACAGATTATTCTAAGATACTGGGTGTTAATTAGTAGCCACTCGTGGCGATATGAAAACTGCAACTTGGCTTGTGTGACTGTACAAACAGTTCGAGCCTTCCCCAGAGATGCAGAATATTACCAAGCCAGCAATTATCATTGCTTGGGCCCATTTCAAAACCTGCACTTTGTAAAGGCAAGCCAATCTAAACAACTATTGAAGCTTTTACTACTTAATAAAAACATCCCAACAATCCCCACTTTTTGGGTACTTTTTATTCGCTGTGTTTCTTCTCCTATTGTCACCATGAGGGAGAAAACCAAGAAGAAAGTATGGGGAGAAGAATATGTGACCACAAAAATGTCTGGTTGTGATTTGCATAGACTGCAGCCCTGGATCAAATTTCAGCCAGAGCAGATGGAGGCTGCAGTTACATTTGGCAGATTCCTTCAGAATTAGACTCTCACGTACAATAAATTAATAAACTTACCCCTGTAACTAGACCCGGAGATATGTCTTGCTATTGTCGCCCCTGACGGAACAGGTGGTGATGTCACAGCAACTTGCCTGCCGCTGGGGCTTGTCTGCAAGTTCAAACTGGTCTCACTTGTAGTTCCTCTTTCTTGAGTGTTTGCCGATGCCGACAAACCATCAGAATCTCTCTGATCGGGGAGTCCACAAGTGTTCCTGCAACACAATCATGTTTTTTAAGTCGGTCCCACCGAAAGCTCATTGATTTTACACTGAAACCATCGCAACCCCCCATATTGGGTGAGAAGGGCTTGGTACTTAAAATGAGAGAAACATCTATAACAAGCCAGCTTCAGGGCCAATGTCTACCTGTTGGTGGCAGGCAACATGCAGAAGCAGGTACAGATAATATATTTACATTGGCATTCCATGATCCAACTGGGAGCCTGATTTAAAAATGACTGAGTCCAAAAGGCTGTGAAATCTGACACTGAAAAGGAGATGCAAAGTATGAGTCCCATAAGCAAATCTCCTTTCCATTAACACCATTTGGCCACGGAAGGAGCAGGAGCATCAGCCCAGTCTCTGTCTCTGTCTCCGTCTCTCTCTTTGTCTCATCGTGATAGTCCATCTTCTGATTTCTGAGGCAAATCCTCATGGTTGTCCAACTAGGATCTTCTGCTGTCAGTTTTCCCTCCCAGCTGTTGGCTAGGCCTGTCTATTTGGTTGGTTGCAAGGCCAGAAACAGATTGTAAAAGTGATATTGAGTGGGTCCTGCCACTGAATTTGGCAGGTCTTCTCTATTGCAGGCCTTGCTCGCTCCATTGGGATTTTTGCTTGCTCTTCCCAACCTCCCCATTAATATCATAACCGTTAACATAACAGGCCATGATAAAGCCTGTACAGAATAAGACAATCTATTGTGACCTTTCATAAAGTTGGTATTATAAATTTTCATCTAAATTATCTGCTCATCCTTCATCTAGTGAGCACTATGATACTGCAGTGGTAAGCTGGAAATTGAGATCCAATACTTCCACAGTCATCACAGAAGTTAAAGTTTTATTTTAAAAGTATACAAAATTCCACAATTTACCAGTCTTTTAGGTTGACAGAAAACATGGACCCAGTTTCTGTACTTAACAAGATTGACTATTTATTACAAGCAGATAGACTCTGGCCGTATGTAAACAATATGAACAGTCTGCTTATAATTCTACTGGCTCAAATTCTAACACACCTCCCCCACTAAACGTCCCCTCTATATACACATGCAGACACAAACAGAGAGAAAAAAAGGGTTTAATAGAGCGAGTGAAAGATTGGGAAGGCAGTTCAGTGGTCCCTGTCCGTAGCATTTGCTGAGATGATCTTTGTGCTTATTAGAACACTGCTTCTTGATTTCACTTCTTCAGATACTTTCAGTTGTTTGTAGGAGGCACAGGGTGACTTGTTCACATTTTAATTGGTATTTGATTTATCAACTAAAAATCACAGCTTACAGCAACTGTTGACAGGAAATAAACTGGCTATCTTCAGGCGTTAGGTACTCTCTACCGCAGAGCAGAAACAGTTCATTCTCCAAAGGCCTGATAGTTTCTGCCAAAACTTTCACATCCCAAAGCTATTGAGCTGCCTGAGAGCCTATAATAGAGTTGCTGACAGGCAGAAGGCCTTTGTTACCAATAACTGGTCACTAGTCCACAGACCGATCAGCTAATTCTTGGCAGCCAAAACTCCATTTGTACACATGCCTTGATTCGACCTGGTCTGCCATCTGGGCTTTCACTACTGCTTCAACCAGCAGCTGTGTACACAGGACTTACAATGAGTATCAGATTACTTACTTGTTAAAAGAAGTGCAGAAATCCTTCAAAAGTCCTTGATTTTTAAAACAGTACTTTCTCAATTTCAGTGCAGAATTAAAAATACAAAAAACTTCAAAGTTACAGGTCTTTACATGATGCATATGGTTTACACTTAACTTCAGAATGAGGGAGAGTACACCTAATTTCCATAACTGAGAGTTATTAAGAACTGTAGGGGAAGTTGAATTGAGTGCCTTTTTCACTATATATAAATGTGGCATTTATCAATGGCTTAGAGGATAGAATACAAAGGGAATTTCCTTGAAGCTGTTCCCATTTTACTGCAATAACATCACTTGGGATTTAGCAGAAGTACCCACTCTGGTAGAAAATAGAAATTCCATGCCTTTACCCCAGGATGGATAGTATACTGAAAGAACTGTCAGACGAAGAAAGTAAATACAGTTATACTGATGCAACTGAATTTGAATTGCTAGGTTGTGTGGATTTTCCTTAGGTGAAGAATTAGAATTAGCCTTTAATGTCACATATACTCAATGAGTATGATGAAAGGGTTATATGGCGCCACTCACAAAGGTACCTAGGCACAGCTTCTTTAGTTACATGATCCTAGATAATAGAAAAGTAAAATGTTCAGCATTGTAGATTCAGAACAACAGGTCACACTGCTACCTAGCTTCCAAGCTAAACTGGGCCATGGCTCTAGATCGCGCTGAGCTTCACCTTGAGAATCATGAGGCTGGGAGACCACTTCAGACCACCATGCCGGGCCGAGGACACAACACAGCAATTAGGAGCAGGGGTAGGCCACTCAGCTTCACTATTCAACATTGACTGCTCTAATTATGCCACATTCCCACCTACCCCTGTTGATCTTTCACCCCCTTGCTTATCAAGAACATTTATGAATAATGAATAAGGTCGAATGACCTTTGAACAATTGGAGAAGTAGAGACTGTAAAAAGCACAATTATTTTGGTATTTTTGATGAAGGGTCTAGGCCCGAAACGTCAGCCTCTCTGCTCCTATGATGCTGCTTGGCCTGCTGTGTTCATCCAGCCCTGCACCTTGTTGTCTCGGATTCTCCAGCATCTGCAGTTCCTACTATCTCTGATTCAATTATTTAGGTATTGCCAATTTTAACTAGTCATGTACCATAAAAATAGCAGACTCTGTCTGAAAAAACATTTCTGCTAATTAAAGGCAGATTTTACTCCTCAAAGTTAAGATAGAAGATACACTTTTAAACACATATTTCTCATTGTTTTTACTTATCACAAGTTCTCATTATTCACAGATTCTTCTTAGCTGTAAAACCAGCTGGCAAAAGAAACATTCCTGTAAATTTTGTTTTCGTGTGTAGCCAGTTCTTTCAATTTGTGATATTTTTTTAAAAATTTCATGACCACAGTATTTAAACAGGAACAAGGCCAGTGCAGTACCTTGTAAGCTACATGACCACGTATGCTTGATGGATACATGAATTACATGATTTCTTAATTACCTCCTACTAGGTTCATTGTAACCACTGGTCAGGCTCTCAGTTTTGTTTATTTGCATTGACATCCCTCTGATCCAGCCATCTGATGACATCCCATAAACTTGAAACATGTCCCCGGTCCATGCCCGTGGTTCTTCTGATCTACTGATTGGAGATGAGAATGAATTAACACTTCATGGAGGAGATAATTAGTCAGCAACAGTTAGATAATTTTCTGGGAATGAGCACATGTTTAACCTGATTGGCAAAAAACTCATAGCAACATAAGGAAAAGCCTTTCTTACATAATGAGTTGTTATGAGGTGGAATGCATGATAAGGTGGTGGAAACAGGTTGAATAGTAGCCTTGAACAGGAATTCAAAATACATTCAAGAGGTAAAACTGTTGCTGTACGGAAAGCCCTGGGGCGTGATGGGGGGGATGGTGGTGGTGGTGGGAATGGGACCAACAAGATTGCTTTGCAAAACATCTGAGCAGACCTGATGGGCAAAAAGGCCTCCTTTCTTACACATTGATTCTGTGACTCTAACATGCAAGAAATCAGATCTCCTCAGTTCCACTGCCCCATCATAGTAAGAAATGCACTTTTTCACTGCCTCTTGCTCCTGACTCTGTTGTGATATTCCAAGTCAGGGCCGGGATACCTGCAGATGCCTGCAGTATTACAGGAGCACCATAAGCACCTCAATGGAAGGGAATGTAGAAGATAATGGGTTGCTCGATGATGGGTTGCTCGATTACCTCTTGGGAGTTTCCATTCATGGACATGCTCCAAAAATATGATCTCCCTGACTGCTTAGCTTTCAAAATGGGATTACTGTTTGGAGATAAGTCTTGGGTCATCCAGTTCATAATCCTGATCTAGTGCCCTCGGGGTCACATTTTCATTAATAAAAAGACCTGGCTTATTATCAACATCCAAATGTCTGAGAGAAAAAAAAGGTTGAGAGAGGCAGCAATCCATAGCAGACTTTGTATGGAGCATGAAAGTTTCTTCTGCTTCAAGAACATATTATGTGCAAGTTTAGCTTAGACCATGTCTTCAATGTTATATATTCATCGGGGTGAGGCAGGGAAGAAAAGAATATCCAAAAATCAAAGACATTGTAAAGGTGAGTAGTGAATCTGATATCTGAATCTGTATTACAAAGTCTCATGGCTCTGACAAGCCCAATGAATGGCGTTAACTCGCTGTGGTCATGGTTTCACAGATATTGCTTTAAACATGTCAGGTATTCAGTACAGTTATACTACCAGTACTTACACAGGTATTTGTGGTTTTGAACGTAGAATTTCAGTATTAAACAATGAATTGGCATCATTAATACCTGAACTGGCCACACCAGCTTCAGAAGGATTATGTTTTATCTGTGAAAAGAAAACGAGTATCAGCTACAGTTGTGATGCTTCCTGACACCTGCACCATAAACCATGCTCAATTTATAGAATCATAGAACGGTTACAGCACAGAGGAGTTCATTTGGCCCATCATGTCTGAGATCCTCTCCAGGTACAACTCACCTCACCATACTCCCCTCTGTTTTCTGGAGCCTTGCAAGTCTTTAGATAGCTTTCCAATACCTTTTAGAAAGCCATGATTCAACCCGCATATACCACAATCTCAGACAGTGCTTTCCAGATCCTAACCACTCACTGCATGAAAACTTTTCCCTTCATGTCAATGCTGTGTTGTTTGCCAACAATCTGAAATCTGTGTCCTCTATTTCTTGATGCTACTGCTTATCACAACAGCTTTTCCCTCTCTATTCAGTTCAGACCCTTTTTGAATTTGAACATCTCTATCAAAACCTTTGTCAATCTGCTCCTCTTGCAAGAACAGCTTCAGTTTCTCCAATTCATCGATATACTTGCGTTCCCTCATCTCTGAAGCTATCCTTATGAATAATAAGAACATAATAAAGAATTGGAGCAGGAACTGGTCATTCAGCCTCTTGACCCTGTTCCACCATTCAGTAAGATCACGGTTAATCTGACTGTAGCCTCAACACAACAAACCTTCCTAAACCCTGACAGCTCTAGATTCCCTTGTGAAGCAAAAAAGCTGTCCAGCTTAACTCTGAATATAAAAGAAAGCACTGCGGATGCTGGAAATCAGAACGAAAAACAGAAATTGCTGGAAAAACTCAGCGGGTCTGTCAGCATCTGTGGAGAGAAAGCAGAGCTAATGTTTCAGGTCCAGTGACGCTTCCTCAGTTCAGTTCTAAACTGCTGGTACCAGAACTGTGCTTTGCTGACATTTCTTTTCTTGCCCGCCTAGAACACTTGCACCTTGTCTCTTTGTATGTATGTGGGAATTGTTAAAAAGGGTAGAATTTAAAATTTGTAGAGCTATAAGTTGGCAGTTCTATGTTTATTTCTTGCCTTTTTTTATTCACTTACAGAAAGAGGGTGTTCCTCGCCAGGCCAGCATTTATTGTCTGTCACTAATTGCCCAGAGGATAGTTTAAATGTCAACCACATTGCTGTAGGTCTGGGCTCTAGACCAGGTAAGGATGGCAGTTTCTTTCCCTGAAGGACATTAGTGAACCAGATGGGTCTTTCCAACACCAGCAATGGATTCATGATCATCATTAGACTCGTATTTACAGATTTTTTTTACCGAATTCAAATTCTACCATCTGCCGTGGTGGGATTTGAACCCGAATCCCCAGGACATTACCTGTGTCTCTGGATTAATCCTCAAGTGATGACACCACTAGGCCAATTGAAAACAGATTTATAGTAATTAATATAATTTTCTCATTAATTAAAAAAACTCACTGTGCATATTCTTTTAACCTGCATCAGGTAGAATTGGGCAATTTGCTGGTTTAATCAAATTTTCATATTAGTGGCAACTCTGGAGGTATTGGGGCTTGAATTCCAGTGCACTACCTGAGTAAACAGTGCCAACTTGTCCTACTCTAGAACTTGAATGCACAATTTAAGTTGCCTCGTCAATGCATTACTAAACGAATGCTGCATTGTCTTTGGCTGAACTGTTAAGATAGATTCTATTCAGGTGAGATAGAGTACTGTATGACATTAGTTGCAGTAGGGCTCGGAGTCTTCTTGGTATCCGGGCCAATAATCCTCCCTTGACTGACACTATCAAAGAGATTTACTGATCATTCACCTTGACGCTGCTTGTGCAAACTTGCTGCGTGAAAAGTATTTTTGCTCTGTTTGCTAAACAACAAGTTACTGCACTTCAAAGTGACTCATTGTGCGAAGTGTTTTGACAGTTCTATGACAGACATGGAAAGGTATTCTGTAAATGCAGGTCTTATTTTAAAAGGAACGTTTCTTTGATATTGCTCAAGGAAAAAGATTTCAAAAGCTGGCCGAACAGTTTTTACTGTAACAAACCCAGATGCAGAGGCGAAACCAATCTGATACTGTCCATTCAGCTTATTCCTTTAACAGTAACACAGTCTGAATGATGAGTGATATATATCGTGTCTGTTACAAATCACAGCTGAAAATCTATTTGATTTAGAATTTTATCAAACGTGTTTATGCATGAAGCTGAAGAGTCTGCTATTCACCTCACATATTTTTAGACATTACACCTACATGCCCTTGAAAACAAACCATTGGGCTAAATGTGCCACTTGCTAGCAGAGAGATTGCGAAGCATGATCGTGAGGCATTAAATGATAGTTTTAGAGAGCTGATGCTTTCCTTCATGACGTTCTTGGTAGCCACATTACTCACATTGCATGAGAACTGCCCACATGTGGACAAGACACAGAAAGGAGTCATGAGTAGAGTGGCTAGGCTCCATTGCAGAACAGTCACATTGTGGGCTAGAATATGATGTATACGACTTACCGGCGTAGGATAAAACAGGGTGGCCGCTGCCAGGTCACCAGGAAGTGTGTGATTCTGGGAACAAACCATGTGCCCAGTTTCTCTGCACCTCTCTGTTTACAGAGAAAACTGTGAGGTCCTCTCTCACATAACGGGGCTCCTGTCACCTCCTTGGTGCAGCAAAACACATCAATCTGAAGTTTTGGTGATGCCAATGGCTCCCACAGGAAAGCATCCAGAGGCATAGAAATTCAGGGGGAGAGTAAGCTGCAAAACCATTGGATGTCCATTGACTAGGTGACAAGTGAAACCTAGCACTTTGAAATGTGTCATTGTTTAATCTTTATTTAAATATAGGTGTTTGTGAAAAAGAACACCAAAGCAAGTAGTTCTATCTTTATTCTTTCATGAGATATTGGTGGTACTGGAAAAAGGGCAACATTATTAGCCTATCTACAATTGCCCTTGAACTAACAGTCAACTATATTACTGTGGGTCTGCAGTCACATTTAGGCTAGACCAGGGAGTAATGGCAGAGTTTCATCCCTAAAATCCTAAGCTTTCCTGTCCAGTAGTCCGTAAGACATCATTATACTGGATGTGCTTATGTCACTCAGTATTAACCATTTCTGATTCTTTCAGCACTGTATACACCATAAGACCAAACAGGCTCTGTGGCTCCCCAGCCTGATTTGGTTAGGAAACCTTTTGGTTCCCAATTCGTGATGGTTAACAATACGAACCTGGTGGGGGCTTTGGTTGGACCAGCAGCACACTCTATTAATTTGTTCCAGGAGATTACAATCCAAAACATATCATAAGATACTGTTTTATATCATTTCATAAAGCTCTCTGTTCTTGAAGTAAATGTCTGGACCATCCTTAGATGTGGAAAAGTTGTTTCTCCTTGTGGGAGAGTCAAGGATCAGAGGGCATCCGACTAAAGGTTGCACATTTAAGACAGAAATGAGAAGGAATTTCTTCTCTCAAAGAGGTTTGAATCTATGAAACTCTTTAACACAGAGGGCTGTTAAGGCAGGATTGTTACGTATATTCATGACTGAGACAGAGAGATCTCTAACCTGTAAGGGTATCTAGGGTTATGGCAGCAAAGTAGAGCCGTGGACCGTCAGATCAGCCATGATTTCATTGAATGTGCAATAGTCTCGATGGGCTGAATGGCCTGCTTCAGCTCACATATCTCATGGCCTTATTGGAGCAGCAGCCATTGAAGATTAGGGAGTGAAAGGAGCAGCAAGAGCAGCTGATTAAGTTAAACTTAGCCTTATAAGATTTCCAATGGATACTGCAGTTTGACCAGGCTATGTTCTTGTTAAGAAGCTGCTGTCTCCATATATTTTTGAAAAATCAAAGTATTTTTATATTGGGTGAACTCAACAAATGTTGAAACTAAAGCAGTTTGCAATTCCAGTAGGCAAACAAGACTTGGGCCATTCTAGTCACCTCCTAGCAGGCAGTCAATAACACCAGCCATCCCAATATCTAAGAGGATGAAATTTCTGCTCATTCAATGCTGGATGTCAGATATGCAGTCTGACAAATTAAAAGCTACTGGAACACCCCACTGCACAATCACCAACTTCCAACACTGAGAAGAGTAGTAACAAGGTCACAGAAACATCTTTCACATCTGGCCTTTTGGTTGCTAATAACTGCTTTGCGATGAATTCCTTCATAATCACATGCTTTATTGACATAGGCATTTCTTGCCAATCCTTCATTAGACAAAGCCAGAATTCCAGGACTCCCTCACTATCACATTGTGGCAGCACCACCCGTACAAGGATAGCAGAGGCCAAAGGAGGAGACAAACCACCACGAACTTTCTCAAGAAAATTAGAATAGGGCAGGAGATAGTCACAATGGCAGCAAAGAAGTCTCTGCTGGTTTACTGAGTGCAGATAGTCATGTTTGAAGGTTACTTCCCTCTGGCAATACCAGTGGGCAAACCTTCAAGGAGTTTGAGGCGCTAAAACTATTTCAGTGGGTGTAACAGGTTCTATTTTAATATTTTCAAGGATTTGCACAATTTCCAAGTCAACATTACTTTCATAGTTTGACTTTCTCAACTTTGAAGAAGAAAGCATCATTGCATTCATGTTCGGAGTGTCTGACTAAGCACAAAATGACTGCTACACTTACACACAAGACAACTGTGACTGAGGATCAGAGTAATACTGCTGAGAGATGTAACAGGTGCTTTATAAGTGAAACTTTCTCTTTACTACTGCCTGTGCTTGATTAAAGCAAATAGAGTCATTGTCCTGGACATTCATCCCTCTGTCCATCTTAGAATGGATTGGGGCTATTTAAAGTTGGTAGGCAGCAGCTGATTCTGGGATTCTTGCCTTTGTTCCCATTGTGTGTAATTTTACTGGCAATGGGAGAGGGGCATGGGCAGTGAGTCTGCACTCAGAAAGACTCCCTTGCCTATATGGAGTGCTCTATTCAACTCTGATAAAATGAAGGGCTGCGCTGATCTGCAGTAAACATCCTACCACAGTTTATTTAGATTCAATCTTGCTTTACACAGCCACAGGATTTTAGAACAGACGCCTTCTTGATATTGGCACCAAGTGTTTTGAGATAAAGCAGACGTGATACCTTGCTGGTGGGATTGGATGGATTCCTTCTTTCTGCGAGCTGGGCTACAACTGCTGGGTTACTGGAGCTAATCAGCACCGGTGAACTGATTTGCAATGGCTGGTGGGATGGAGATGGGTGGGAGATTCTGTTTAGCATATTCATCGCACTCGTGTGGCGTGTGTCTTTAACAGCCACCCTCCCTGTCTCTGTGCGTTTGAACGTTGTGCTAGAATTAGCCAATGCTGCACTGCTTTGGCATTTGCCATCTTTCACATCTGGCCTTTTGGTTGCTAATAACTGCTTTGCTGTTGAGTTCATCTATAGGAAACAGAGAAAGGAAGAATTGGGTGAATTATTTTTACCCGCATACTTTGCAGTACAATCAGCAAAATGAATGTGTCATTTAGATAATATTTTTAGAAATTCATTTACATTCTTTCATTCTAATGTGTTTCTTTTTGTAAAAGAAAATATGTTTTCACCTCTTTCTTTTTTGGTTCCTAGATATCAAATCACGGCAAAGAGATCAATGTAGATAACTTGCTCCAAACTATTTGTCAACGAAGCTGACCAAACTGATGATGAGATGTTTCACCTCAGTTTCAAGAAGACTCCTCCTATCACTTGCCCACAATCCCTCTAAGGAGGCATCTAGTCTTTGCATGTAGCTCATAGCGAGAACTGTGGTATGAGTTACATGCAGATATTGTACTCATTTGCATTAAATTTTTCTCTCGGCTATTTTGGCAAAGCTATTATTATTTTAATATTACCTCTGTAATAATAAGGGAGACAGGAAACTGATATGTACATCGAATGATTAACATGTACTACGAGCCCTCTGGCTGAATCTTTAAAGTACGGAAGAATGTCGCTCTGCTCTGTTGCATACAACGTTGCAACTCTTGTGAGTTGCCCCACTACTCTATAAATTTAAACCAATATGGCATGGTAAGTTTCCTTATTTGAGAAATAATATAGCGAACCAGATACTCTGATAGCCAGAGAATTGTTGGAGCAGCACTGGAGTTGTCTGTTGGAACTATACGGAATCGCCAATGTGGCTGGCTCTATAGGAATCACCAAGGAAATTAACTTGTCCAGTGTGTAATTCTCCCACACCTGGGACCGTCCAAAAGGGTCCATTAAAGTTGGAGAGTTTGGAGACTTTTAACTCTGACTCACAGTGGCTACAAGAGCAGGTTAGAGGCTAGGAATACTGTAACAAGGGCAACACGGTGGCTCAGTGGTTAGCACTGCTGCCTCACAGCGCCATGGACCCAGGTTTGATTTCTCCCTCAGGCGACTGTCTGTGTGGAGTCTGCACATTCTCCCCGTGTCTGCATGGGTTTCCTCTGGGTGCTCTGGTTTCCTCCCACAGTCCAAAGGTGTGCAGGGTAGGTGGATTGGCCGTGCTAAATTGTCCAAAGTATCCAGGGATGTTTAGGTTAGGTAGGTTAAACATGAGAGATTCAGGGGTAAGGGAATGGTTCTGAGTGAGATGCTCTTGGGAGGGCAGTGTAGACTTGTTGGGCTGAATGGCCTGTCTCCACACTGTACGGATTCTATGACACTGCCTGACTCCCCAAAGACTGTCCACCATTTACAAGACACAAGTCAGGAGTGTGATGGAGTACTCCCCACTTGCCAGGATGGGTCCAGCTCCAACAATACTCAAGAAATTTGACATTATCCAGAACAAAGCAGCCCGCTTGATTTAGCACCACATCCAAAACATCCACTCACTCTACCACCAATGCTGAGTAACAGCATGTGTGCTATCTACAAGATGCACTGCAGAAATTCACCAAAGATCCTCAGACAGTACCTTCCAAATGAATAACAGTTTCTAACTAGAAGTACAAGGGCAGCAGATACAGAGGAACATCACCACCTGCAACTTCCCCTCCAAGCCACTCACCATCCTGATTTGGAAATATATCGCTGTTCCTTCACTGTCGCTGGGTCAATATCCTGGAATTCCCTCCTTAATGTCATTGTGGGGCTACCTGCAGCAGTTCAAGAAGGCAGCTCTCCACCATCTTTTCAATGACAACCAGAGACAGGCAATAAATGCTGGCCAGCCAGCAACGTCCACATCCCACGAATGAATAAAAATTAAGCTTAATAGTTATCCAAGGATGGCTACTCTAGCTTCTTTGTAACTATTAAAGTGAACATCTGACTCGTAACTGACCTCACCAAGTGTATGTTCCCAATCCTTTCAGACCCCTTGACCCCCAATAACCCCACGCCCGCAACAGCCTGACTTGATTCCACCCTCACTACCTCGAATCCTGCCAGACCCGAAACCCATCATTGACTTGTCTTCTTCCCCGCAGCTCGGCTGACATCCTAGAACCCAACAACACCACTCCAAACCGGCCTGACCACTGCTGGACCAAGACCCCCGCTCCTACCTGGGAGCAGTCCTGATACCACATTCCAGCATCCCCCACACCCCCCACCACCAATCCTGCCACTGGACCCAACACTAACCAATACTAACTCACCAAAAGCACTCATTCCTGTATCTGGCACACAGGCATCCCAAATACCTGGCATCCCACTCCAACCACCGTGTGACTGACCACCTCCTACTGTCACCCTATATTCGGAAATATATCACTGTTCCTTCACTGTCGCTGGGTCAATATCCTGGAATTCCCTCCTTAATGTCATTGTGGGGCTACCTGCAGCACATGGCAAACTACCCTCCTCACCCAATTGGCACCTTAACCCCACACATATCTGACATAGGTAGCCTTTTCGCAGTAGCTACTGAAATGCCTTATTGTGCTGCTGGATGTTCAAATCAGAGGACAAGGCCCGCTAGCTGCTGCAAAGGGAGCATCCTTTGCTACTAGACTCCTGGATTCCTGGATCAGTTTGTAACGAGACGTCCCTGTCCAGGAATCCCCGGTGCAGAAGACATCCAAAGGTATGTGGGTAATTTTTAAAACTGATCAGATTTAGAAATAAGGTTTCCCGATCCTGATCAGGATATTTGAGCTATCATTGCATTAGCAGTAGTTCAACAATGGCTTACCCAACTGATTCCTTGGATGAAGGGGTTAGCTTATGAGGACATATCAGGTAGTTAGGGCCTGTGTCTATTGGAGTTTACAGCAATGATAGGTGATCCTATTGAAACATACGAGATCCTGAGAGGACCTGACAGGGTAGATGCTGAGAGGACTTTTCTCCTTGTGAGAGTTGCAAGAACAAGGGGGACACAGTTTAAAAACAAGGGTCTTTCACTTAGAATGGAGAGAAGGGAAAAAGAAGAATCCTAACACCTGGCATCCTTTACTGTCAGAGGGTTTTTAATCAACAGAATTCTCTTTCTCAGAAAGTACTGAAAACCAGATGTTTGAATATGTTTATGGTAAAGTTAGATAAAACTCTTGATTAACAAAGGAATTAAAGTGAATTGGGTAAGCAGAAAACTTGAGTTGAGGCTACAATCAGATCAGCTATGATCTTATCAAGTGGTAGGGCAGGTTCGATGGGCCTACTCATTCTCCTAATGTGTGTGTTTGTAATCACAATTCATTGCTAGAGATTGTATAACCTGATTGTATAACCTGAGAAAAATCAATAAAGCAATCCTTTCCTGTTTAGGAGTAGTCAAGCAAATGTTACTCATGGAAAACCGGTTGCTCTGTAAAACAAAAACACTAAATTGCAAATAATATCCCTTTAACCATAAAACGTGCAGGTCTCAACAGGGCTTCACACCACAGCCCCAAATAGTTGCGTAAAATTGTGAAGTGTGTAGAATTGATCACGTAACTAAAAGACAGAGGAATCAAATGAATCTACAAATTGGTGACTGGATAAGATCCAGCTCTATATTAATAGTGATGTGGAGGTGCTGGTGTTGGGGTGGGATGGACAAGGTCAGAAGTCACATGACACCAGATTATAATCCAACAGGTTTACTTGAAATCACGAATTTTCGAAACGCTGCTCCTTTGTCAGGTGGAGTGAAGAGAAGCACGCAGGCACATAATTTCTAGGCAGAGAGATGAAAAGATCATTCAAATGGTGTGAGTGCAGTGTCAACAGGCTGAATAAGAAGTCTCAGTAGGTGATCAAAAGTGTCAGACAGTGTGAATAAAGTGTCAACAGCTGAATAGCAAGTGAAGGGATGACCTATAATTTGATTAATTGAGGCCGAGAGATAATTACAAATAAAAAATTAAAAATAAGGTGGCTCTGGAAACAAGCCAAATGGCTGGAATAATATGAGATAACAAGGTGTGGAGCTGGATGAACACAGCAGGCCAAGCAGCATCAGAGGAGCAGGAAGGCTGACGTTTCAGGCCTAGACCCTTCTTCAGAAAAAATGGAATAATATGTTAGATATAAGAGTCACATGCCAAGAGTCTAACCAAAGTAACAAGTAATCCAAAACTGTACAAACTAATCAAGATAGAGAGATCATAACAAGTTATCAAGGTGATGGCATCAAAACAGGACAGTACGGAAGAATTTACAGATACAGGACAGTATGGTGGGGTTACATGTAGCACAACATACTGTTCTGTATCTGTAAAATCTTCCTTACTGTCCTGTTTTCACACCATCACCTTGATAACTTGCTATGATCTCTCTACCTCGATTAGTTTGTACAGTTTTGCATTACCTGTTACTTTGGTTATACCCCCGGCATGCAACACTTAAACCTATCATATTATTCCAGCCATTTGATTTGTTTCCAGCACCACCTTACTTTTCACTTTTTGTAATTATCTCTCGGCCTCAATTAATCGGATTACATGTCATCCCTTCACTTGCTATTCAGCTGTTGATACTTTACTCACACCGTCTGACACTTTTGATCACCTGTCGAGACTTATTATTCAGCCTGTTGACACTTCACTCAAACCATTTGTATGATCTTTTCAGCTGTCTGCCCAGAAATTATTTGCCTGTCTCCTTCTCTTCACTCCACCTGACAAAGGAGCAGCACTCTGAAAGTCTATATTAATTGTATGTGTTGGCTGGATGCTGCTTTTTTAATTGGACTTACTTATAATTATGAAAAACAACAAGCCTAGCACTTTCCAAACTTCTCCTTCTCCCTTTTTGTTAGTTTTTGAACAGCTAAGTTACAAGGTATTGTTCAATTTTTTAAAAAGATGAATTTAGATCTGCCTTTTATAAGAGATTCCACAAATTGTAATGTGAATGATGTGCTTGTCAAACATTTTCTTGTGACTAAAAAGGCTGTGTGTAAATTTTCACTTTGATGTTTTCATACACAAGTTATCTGAAATGGGAATCAATAGGATTGATACCTTTGTTCTTGGACTTTTCTTAACAAACGCAAACATTAGTCCACTTTAAAAAGGAAAATAATATTCCTGACCAACTGAACTGATGAAGGAAACACAAAAGCAGCCAATTATGAAGAGAATTTCCAGTGTTACCTACCTCAACAAATGAAATGGGGAATATTCCTACTTTGTCTCCTAGTTTGCCCTCCACCCAGTTTTCATCAACTCTGCGGATCACTTTTAGAATATCATTCTGAAAGAGAAGTTTGAAACTTCATTAAATCTACAATGACTTTAAAGTTGAGCAAATTTACAGGCACTTCTGGTGAGGATATGTCATAAAGCAGGTCCTCTCACCAGAAAACAAATGTGTTTGATAAGTCATGCATCCAATACTGAGGCATGAATATAATAATACCCTGGAAAGGAACATTCTCTGTGATAGCTGAATTCCACAGTACATATTGAACTTACTCTGATTAAAATTATATGTGTGTGCAAGATGTGCCTGAAATCCTAATCCAGAAAATATCAACATTTTGTGATCTCATAATTGTCATCCTCATGATAGGAGTCTAATAATTAATTGGTCATCAAGGATTTATTAACTCTGTGGGTTAGCTTATTTAAAACTGTACTGTAAGTTATGGATCAGACGCCACAGAAGAGAGATTTTTTGTGTGTGTGTAGCTTGCTGGCCCATAGCAGACTAAGTGCCAAGCAGAGTCACAACATTGTCTACACATACAAAAGTAATTCAAATCATTTAATAGAAGGAAACATAGCAGAGTCAATGAAAAGGACTGTAGGTTGTTGACTCACTGTTATCCTTTTGTTGGTATCACTAAAGGCAATGTCATCTTCATTGTTCCAACTGAAGCTACCTCTTTAAAGGTTTTAAATGGTCACGTATTATTAGTTCCCATTGACATTTTACTACATGGATATTGTTGAGGTTTAAGCTATTCCCATTGTCATGTAGCCTCTTAATGATTTGCAAAATTCATATTGACAGTACCTTGAGGAATGGCAGGAGATCCTTGTTGGCTTCCTTGTCTTTTTCTTTCAGGTTAAAGTCATAAAGAGCTTTGCAAAGTGGTGGGGGCTGAGGTAAATGATGGATAACCTGAACAAAATTGAGAGGGAAAATTCCGCAAACTCCATTGATTTCCCCATAATACCAATTCTCATCCACTTGCCTACGTAGAAGGATGACATCACCCTTTTTAAAGCTGAGGTCTCCTGGCTTCTGGCCTCCATACGTGTACAACGCTCTCGCACATGGTACCTGCAATGACCAACAACTTCAGCTGATGGGATTTGAGAGTTAGCAATGCTGAAAGCAACGTCACACAGCTGAGAGATTTAATGTAAGAAAGCATCCATCTCTAAACTGCTGTCTTACTGTCTAATGAAACACTCTTCCTACCCAAACCCTCAATCTCACCAGCCGGGGAACAGCCCCAGTCCCATCATTGTAGAACTAAGCATGATTGACTCTGGCTGCAAGTGTTCACAAGGATTGTGAAATGTACATTTATAACAGCTAGTCTACCAAGTGTATAAAACAAGTCTATTGACTAAAAAAGAAGCATGAAAGGTGGACTCTCATTCTACATTTGGAGCCTTTGACATTGAACAAAGTTATGCTGGTGGAGCAGCAGCAGCTCTGAGCAAAATTCAAGTCAGAATTTTAAAGCTTTGGCCTTTGACTGAGCTTTCCCAGAAAATTTTTATCCAATAGCACTTTTAGTAAGGCAGGAGATGAGTTGTAGCTATATTAGTAACACATACTTGAGGGTCTCCCTCGGCAAAGTGTGATTTAATTAAATGACCAACTTAATGATAATACTGTATCTGAGCAATATCACTGAACATTCCAGATGAAGTCCTTCAATTGCACTGCAGGATTCTCCCCCATCTACTGGGAACATGCAGTGATCGCATAGAATTAGAGTTCAAAATAAACATAAAGATTTGGAGTTTCTATTAGTTGCCATTTCTTGAGTGCAATTTCCCTGAAAATTTACAGCAGTGATTGAATAATTTATAATGCAAAATACATCCAATGCATTGTGCACTTCCAGGATCACTAGCGTAATTTTTTAGTTTGAAAATTGCATTAGAAACCTGTCTTCATCCATCACACTGGCTATGTTCAAAACAAAAGTTGCTGGTAAAGCTCAGCAAGTCTGGCAGCATCTATGAAGAAAATATCAGAGTTAACGTTTCGGGTCCGGCGACCCTTCCTCAGAATTGATGGTAGCTGGGAAAACATTGGTTTATATACAGAAAATAGGGAGGGGGATGGGGTAGGGAATAAATGAAAGGATAGAGTCCAAAGAGAGAGAAGGACAATTGGACAGGCAAAGGAGTTGATAACGATCTGGCTAGGAGGGTGAATAGTTGTTAATGGAGACTGTTAGTGACTAATAATAGGTAGTGTGCAATGGCAGGCTATGTGGTAACAAGGTCTGGTGTGTGGCGTAGGGGCCTAGGACATGGAAGAGTTTAGGCCCTAAAATGATTGAACTCAATATTGAGTCCGGAGGGCTGCAGGGTCCCCAAGTGGAAAATGTGGTACTGTTGTTCCAGCTTGCGTTGAGCTCCGCTGGCACACTGCAGCAAGCCAGAGACAGAGATGTTGGCCAAGGACAGGGTGGTGTGTTAAAGTGGCAGGCAAAGATAGCTTAGGGTCCTATTTGTGAGCAGAACATAGATGTTCTGCAAAGCGGTCACCCAGTCTACGCTTCGTTTCCCCCATATAGAGGAGACCACATTGTAAGCAGCAAATGCAGTACACTAGATTCTGAGAAGTGCAGGTGAAGTGTTGCTTCATCTGGAAGGTATGTTTGCGCCATTGGATACTGAGGAGGGAGGGGGTAAATGGGTAGGTGTTACACCTTTGCCGGTTACAGGGAAAGGTGCTGTGGGGCTGTGGGGAGGTGTTGGGGGTGAAGGAAAAGTGGACCAGGGTGTCCCGGAAGGAATAGTCCCTGCAGAAGGCGGAACAGGGAGGGAAGGGGAATATGTGTCTGGTGGTGGCATCTTGCTGGAAGTGGCAGAAATGGCGTCTGATGATCTTCTGGATGTGGATGTTGGTGGGATGGTAGGTAAGGACAAGGGGGACCCTTGTGGGAGGGAAGAGAGGGGGTGAGGGCAGAGTGCGGGAGATAGTTCAGGCCTGGTTGAGGGCCCTGTTGACAACGGCGCTGGGGAATCCTCGGTTGAGGAAGAAAGTGGACATTTTGGAGGCTCCCTTGTCAAAATGGCCTCATCTGAACGTATGTGATGGAGACAGAGGAACTAAGAGAATGGGATGGAGTCTTGACTGAAGCAGGGTGTGACAATGTATGGTCCAGGTAGCTGTGGGAGTCATTGGGTTTATAGTGGATATTAGTGGCCAGTCTATCCCCAGAAATGGTTATGTTACTGACCTAAAGGATAACCATTGTAAGTCTCAGGTCACCATATTTGATTGCAATCTTCCAAGGTACCTCTTAAAATTATTCTGGTTCTTTTAGGTACAAACACAATAATAGAATACATTAAAACTTTTGATTTTTTTAAAAAAATTAACTAAGAAACCAAGCAAATTATCTAGCAAATGTTTCTGTAAAAATTAAGTCTTTTACAATTATTTAAGATCAGCTTTCTCACTAGTGTGTGTTGACAATATAATTAAAACGCTTATTTATGATTTAATATAAGAAAGTACCCATCTTTAAACTGCTATCTTAATGTCTAATGAAACACTGTTCCTACCCAAACCCTCAATCTCCCCAGCTAGGGACAGCCCCAGTGCCATCACTGTAGTACTAGGCATGATTGACTCTGGCTGCAAGTACTTACATGGATTGTGAAATGTATACTATAGTAGCTAGACTGTCAAGTGTATGAAACATTTTCTAGTTAATTTGGTTGGTTTCTTAGTTAAATTTTTAAAAATTCAAACATTTTCATGTATTCTATTATTGTGTTTATATATAAAAAAAGAACCAGAACAATTTTAAGAGGTTAAGATTCCAATCAAACGGTGGTTACCTGAGACTTACAATGGTCATCCATTAGGTCAGCAACATAGCCAGTGTGATGGGTGGGGATAGCTTTCTAATGCAATTTTCTATCTAAAAAATTACACTAATGATCCTGGAAATGCACACTCCATTGGATGTACTTTACATTAATGTTTTAAATCCGGTATGACTCTTCTTCAGAATTGTGCTGAAGAAGAATCATATTGAATTCAAAATGTGAACTTAGTTTCTCTCTCTACATATACTGCCAGGCCTGCTGAGTTTCTCCAGCATTCTGTCTGGCTCAACCATGCTACTGGTAAAAAGCAGCCAGGTCTCAACTGTGTCTTTTTCAAATCATCCATGGCGTGTGAGCTATGTAGGATGATGGGTAGGGGGGTGAACGTTGTGGTTATTGGAGGTCATCACTGAGCTCCAGGACATCTCTATAGGAGTTCCTCAGGGTAGTGTCCTAGGCCCAAACATCTTCAGCTGCTTCATCAATGACCTCCATGATAAGGTCAGAAGTTAGATGTTCACTGATAGATGCACAACTCCATTCACAACTCCTCAAATACAGAAGCAGTCCATGTCAAGATGTAACAAGACCTGGATAATATCCAGGCTTGGGCTGGAAAATGGCAAATGCTAGGTAATGAGCATCTCCAATAAGAGACAATCTAACCACCAGAACTTGATAATCAATGGCATTACCATCATTGAATGTCAAGTTTAAGATCCTAGCGGGTTCCCATTGACCAGAAACTGAATTGGGCCATCATATAAATGCAGTGGCTACATGAGCAGTCAGAGGCTAGGAATACCTGGGTGAGTAACTCACCTCCTGACTCCTCAAATCTACATAGCACAAGCCAGGAGTATGATGGAATATTCCCCACTTGCCTGGATGGGTGCCACTCCAGCAACATGCAAGAAATTTGACACCATCCAGGATAAAATTGTCCGTCTGATTGGCACTACATCCACAAGCATCCACTCCCTATACTACTAATGCTCAGTAGCAGCAGATAAATATATTTGTGTTCTGTGTCTCACATGTCAAACAGATGCCTTCCTGCATATCAGAGTTACTTTGTTCATAAACTGAAGAATTGTCACTGCTTGAGGCATTGAAGACAATAAGATCACAGATCAGGTCACGCTGTGAAAATTAAGCCTGTACATGGATCTGATGTATTGTATGTTCAGACTTGTCACTGTGACCCAAATTCCACCAGCTGTCGCCTTATGCACTCTTGAGGACAGCTGTGTCTGCTTCTCTAACATTCCCCAGTCACAATTGCTTCATTGCTCCTCACACTGACAGAAAAACTAACAAGTAAGATTATATTCTACAGCTCAATGCTTCAATAATCATTATTGACCAGTTAGGAATATAGTTTTCTGATAGAACAGAATAAATGCTACTCACTACTATAGTCCTTTTTGATACTGAAAACTTTCAGCACATTAACTCACAATACTAAGAGAAAAATCCCTGTTTTACCGCAACCTGTCCTGGAACTGAAAACACAGCCGTCATCAGAACAAATTGAAAATGGTGTCCCCTTGTAGTGCTGCTAATGGTATATTGTACAATAAACAAAAGCATTCCACAAGAGAATCCTGTAGGACATTCCTCCCCATTTGTAATTGCTCCTGAATGTTGCAGAACTGGAGAAGACAAGAGAAAGGAGGGAGAATGAGGTTGTGGAGGGATTTGAAAACAAGATTAAGAATTTTAAAATTGAGGCCTAGCTTAATCCAGAGCCTGATTTGGTCAGTGGGTATAGGGTGATATGAGGGAATGGATGTAGTGCAAATTAGGTCATTGAGCAGCAATAATCTGGATAACCACAAGTTTATGGAGGTAGAATATGGCAATCTTACCTGGAGTTTTTTGGTGTAGTCAAGTTTGGAAGTAGCTGAACCATACAAGAGTGTTTCAGTGGCAGTCGAGCTGTGAAGCTAGTACAGTCAGGTGGCATTACTGAGGTAGAAATGGTCTTAGTGATGGTGAAAACAGGTAGTCAGAAGCTTATCTCAGAGTTAGACATGTCCACAAGGATGAAAGTAGTCTGGCTCAGCCTCAGAAGATCAGTGAAATGATAGACTTGGAGGTTAAGAAATTGGTTTGTTGCAGGAATCAAAGACAATGACTTTAATCCTCAAAATATTTCATTGGAAAAAAAATTCTGCCCATGCCTTAATGAATGTTAGATATGCCATCTGTTAAAGGCGATAGAACGTTCTAACAGAACTGCAGTCATCT